CCGTGAAGGAGGAGGGCCGTGGCCCGAAATGTCACCTGTCTGATATGTTATTTTGTTCATTTCATTTTCGAGGGCACGGCGTTATTGGCGCTACCTGCGCGTACTGTACGCGCAGACACTGAGCAGCGGCGGCCGCGGAGTTTCCAGACACTCGCGCATCACTCTCCGCGCCCCCCCCCCCCCCCCCCCCATTGCCCACAACGTCTTAAAAAAAAAGGAACCGGTCATTCTGGTGCATTAACTGGAGCTGAATGGTCTCTCTGTTTGCCAGAGTAGCTGTCACCTGTCGGGAGGAATGCTTTGTGGTTCATTGATAAGGGGGGGGGGGGCGACGGGGTAGGGGTGGGCGGTGGGGGGGCTGTCTGATGGGACGAGCGACACAGCTGGAATTGAAGTGGCGCTGCGCTCTGATCCACCGCTCAGATCCACCGCTCCGATCCACCGCTCCGATCCACCGCTCAGATCCACCGCTCCGATCCACCGCTCCGATCCACCGCTCCGATCCACCGCTCTGATCCACCGCTCTGATCCACCGCTCCGATCCACCGCTCAGATCCACCGCTCCGATCCACCGCTCCGATCCATAGCCGGGATCCCCACCGTGTGCCTCGTGGCGTTGCGGGGTTGACGCGCTGCACCCGCCCGCTCCTTCTGCCCGCTCGCCTTCTCGGCTCCACGTTTCTGCCCTTCCTCAAGGAGGGCTTGTTTCAGGATCGGAATGTGGTCCGGCATGTAGCCTGGGGAGGGGACTTATCAGATGGATTTAATAGTGGGGGGCGGGGGGGGCAGGGGATTGAGGAGATGGTGGTGGTGGAGGCTCAAACTCAAAAGGGGGAGGCTGTTCCAAGTTTTCCCTCTCATGCTGGATGCAACTTTCGTCGCTGTACCGATCTTATCGGGATTTAAAGCGTTGGGTTTTTTTTTTCTCCGCCTGTTGTGCGCGCCATTCACTGGTGCCCGGCACGGGGTACAATGGAGCGACGGATTTGAGGGTTCGGTGGAGGGAGGGCTCGGTAGGATGGGCTCGGTGTGGAGGGCTCGGTGTGGAGGGCTTTCTCTCTGTTTGGTTCCACGCCGTCGATATACAGGCAGCTCTGCCGATAGCGGAGAGCATCCGAGGAGATGACGGAGGGAATGTGGGAACCGCCACATGTCTATCTCACGTGTAGAGTCATTGTCTCCAATATGAAGCAAATTCCCATCGGCTGAATAGATGGAGTTTTGCTGGTGTGAGTTTTTCAAGAGCGAACCACGGACTTTTATTCTGGCACTGCCGTTGATCGACACACTTTAAATCGCAGGCGTGATTTAAAGTGCAACGTCCACGTGCGTGGACACGAAGGTCCATCTTCTGTGTTGAGTGGCGCGTGAGCACAGCAGCGACAACAACAAAACGAAAGACAAAAACATGAACATCGCAGAGAATGTCAATGTCCTTCAGGAATATTGGAAACGAGGTATTTAACGGTCGTACACACAAAGCACGTGCGTTTGAGAACAAGAGGCACCAATAGCAAGTGCACATTTGGACACAGCGCCAGTTATCGCCGTTCCGAAATATCTCGATTTCGGAAACCCCCTTCGAACCTTGAACACAGCTCGTAAGTGGCCGTAGCTCGGTCCATTCCGACCGCAATCATCCCAAATAGGCTCCTCCGCTAAAACTCCGCATGCCGAGAAGTGTCGCGCCACGCCGGTGAAAGACCGAAGAAGTCGTACGGTGTGCCTGGAGCCTGTGGCACCCTCTTCTCGGGGCCTTTCCTTACACCGCCCTCTTTAGCCGAGCCACGGGAGAAACTCGCGTGCATCGTGGGAGTACGATCACAATGGGAGCAACTGCACAGATAGAGGGGCCCGTCGGTAGCCTACTTGCTGTACTGCCTCCTCCTGCAGGCGTCTCTCTGCATGGCGGGCGGGCATTGCGCTTTGTGGGCACGGTCTTTGTGGGCGCCACCAAGCCTGCCGTCTCGTCCATCGCGGGCGTGCGTGGGCACGACGGCCAATGTTGTTTGCAATATCTTTCCCTGTTTTGATCCCTATTTGGGCAAAGTACTTGTTCGTTTGATCACTCCACTTAGTTTTTATTTACTTTGTTTTTGTCATTTTGGCGGGCCGGGTCACTCATCTTTGCAATTGAGACTCATCTCTTGAGTTCTACATACAATTTAATCACGACGTTTCGGGAGCAACACAAGCGATGGGAAAGCAACATGCTTGGTCGTGATTCATTTTAGTTTCTACCTATGTGACTTTACCGAAAGAACCAAAGAGTATGGATTCCTGCAGTCACGAAAGCTTCAAACCTAGATTAAATAAAATTGGCCATGTCATTAAAGCTGAACTTGAAACTCATTTGGATCTCTCACACAGAGAGGTGCACAACCTCCTCGTTCAACAACGGCCCCACTGAAGCAGATGTCACTGGGCTACTTCTGAGTTCCCTTCGAGTGACGGTTGGCTACGTACGGTGCGAAAGAAGTTCGCACAGAAGGCAATTGCACTTTACCACTCCCCTGCCACCAAAGGGAAATGTTTGTCGTGGACTTTAGCCAAATTTAGCACGGAATCAAATTTCATGCGCTGTTGATTTTGCGCATTCACTGCTGTTTAGGCCGAGACCATACACTCGCCGCTCCACGTGAGAACCCCGTTTAATCACAGGCGGCTGACCTGGATTCAAACTCAGGCTCTGAGCGGCGGTGACCTCTGAGCCGCGTGGAGCTGCCAGCCGAGCCGTGCTGGCTGGTGTCACCCCCACACACAGCGAGGCGTGTGTGGGCGCTCGTGTGACTGTAAGCACACCCCAGAGTTAATAAGTGATCGATGGAACGCGACTCACCAATGTGGATGATTACAGTCACATCGTGGGGTTGTGACAAGTGGCTTTGGTGGGGGAGTGGGGGGCGGGGAAGGCCCTCATCCAGCAGTGGATTGACCGACGACGATGAAAACTTTTAAACGTGACATGCATCTCGGGAGGGTCTTCGTCGCGAAGGCGCCCCTCGCATCGTTCCCAAAGACGGGAGACGATGTTTTGGCCGACCGACCTTCAACAAGAGGCACGCTTCAGTTGTTCATGTAACCTCGCAACAAAAGTCAAGCAGATGACACACAGCACAGTATCACCTCCCGTGGTGGGACGCACACACTGCACCTCCGATTAGCGCCGTTGGCCACGTACGAAGGAGGTTCGACATACGTGCATCCATGCTATCTTTGGGAAATTTTTTGCCAGGTTCAAGACGTTGAAAATAATGTGTTTTTACCCTTTCTGGCAATTGAAACTTGAGAGGCGCTAGGATGTTCAAACACCAAATGGATACCTTTTTTGCAAGGCGTCAAGTTTGCATTGACCACACGTACTTGTGGAAAAATAATTCAAACACACATGCTCTGATAATCTATGCATTGTCTTTGAAACCGATTGTCCGACGCCATATAATTCAAAAAACACAGTCGAAGCAGAGCACGTGAATGGGGTAGTCTTTATTCTCGTAACGTAGAAGGGGGTGAAGCGGTAGAATGCATCGTCTGAGTCACCGACCCGAGTGAGGAGAAGGGACTAATGAAACCCCGGTGAGTATGCACAGACATCAATGTGAAACGATCCGGATGATCCCGCCACAGGTAATGATAGACCAGATTCTCTGACTTGCAGACTGTGTCCCCATTGTTATGCCCGTGAGGCCTGCTGTACGATATCTCCATTTAACCTTCATTGTTTTTGCAAACGACCCATGACCAAATCACCTGGAACGCACCCAATCCCGTCACATCCCGGGAGCTAAGCAGGATTTGAGCCTGGATAGCGCTCGGATGGGTAACCGCCACCGTGCGTAACAACAGGTGCTGTCAGCTGCGTTGTCAGCTGAGTTGTGCAGTGCAGCACCGTCCATCGTTCTACTGTACTTCTATGCTCCCCGCCTTCACCAACCCGCACCGACCAGTGTGAGGGCAATAACAATCCCCATGAGCGCATGGCGTGGAGGGGGGGCCCTCATCCAGCAGTAGATAGCCACGAGGATTGTTCACGTAAAAAGGAACTTTGATTGAACGAGTTTTGAACTGGAGTTGCCCTTATAGAGGTTTTTTTTGGGGTTAGATCGCCTAAATATAAATGTGGTGTTAAACCCGCCACCAACCGACACAGCCAATTAGTAACGTTTGTCACCTAAACATAACGTGCCAATTAGTTACTGCTTCAGCACACCTGGTGTGTTGGAGAGTAGCGACAGGTTAAAACAACACATTTATATTATTTACGTGATCTAACCCCCCAAAAAAAACCCGTCATGGATAATATTGGCCACGAAAGCCTACGTGTTAAACTGGAGTTGCCCTTTTCGTGAATGTGGCGAAGTGGAATTCCGACTGCCAGCTCGGGCTGGGTTGGCTTCACTCGTGGCCTGTAATCCAGCACTGTGGATGCAGCGAGGGTTGGCGGATCGCCGTACATATGTCGTGAAGCTCCCTTCTCGTGAGCGCCGAGGCCACCATACCCTGGCACGCCAGGAGATGGCGGTACAGCAAGTGGACTAATCTCCCATCTATTTCCATCTGTAGGGGGATGATCGAGTGTTGCACCCTTCGCACGCGAGGGTTTTTTCCTCGTATTCCGATTTCCTCATTCGTGGAGTTGGCCAAACATCCCGATCTGAAGGTCGCGGAAACTTAGGCAATTCTTGCCGCCAAATTCTGGCTGCCTTTCCCCGCTTATCTGTTGTTTCTCGTGCCTCTCAACCTCAGTAAACAGCACGCTATAAATGTGTAACCCTATTTTTAACGAACGCAACACATTAAGCAACCCGTAATACCATCGGGATGGATTGCCAGGCCCGATCAGCGCCATTTACGATGTTTTGCCAGTCGCTCTTTTACGGCCACGAGAAAGAGAGCGCACGTACGTTGGGCCCCCTTGAGTGACTCGCCGGTTAATGGAGTGCGGCGTTGAGAGGGTGCCCGCTGATGATTTTTGCCGCCTTTGTCTTCCTGTGTTGCAGCTCTACCACGTGGCCTACGTGCTCATCAAGTTTGCCAACTCGCCAAGGCCGGACCTGTGGGTGCTGGAACGCTCCACGGATTTTGGGCAGTCGTACGCTCCGTGGCAGTACTTCGCTTGTGAGTGTCCATTTCCATATCCCCCAACGGTTGTCGGCCAATGAATATGTAATGCCATGCATGATATGCCTTCGCCTTTGTAGATGATAAAAGTTATTTGGAATCGGTGCATATTGGTCGAGTCATCCAAGTGGTCACAAACTTCGGTCAAAATTTTTTTTTGAAATTGAAATGTAGATGGGAATAATGAATGAAGGTGGAACCAGACAGCCACCTGTGGTTAACACATGGCTATCAAATGGGAGTGAGTTAATGGCATTAGCCTGGTCTTCATATCATTCACTTGGCTAAATTCCAGCTATTTTTATCCCATTCGTGCCAATCGCCGTCATTTCACGAGATTCTCTTTTCGGATCCTTTCTTGGAGCAGTGCAGACCATTTGTGGTGGATATCGGCCTACGGAAGCGGATATATCACGGAGTTACCTCTGAGATCCCTCCAAGTGGCCCCTGGGTCCATGCACAGGAGAGGGCGGCACTTCCTGTCTGTTCGTCGCATGAAAGCCAAACCGATCTTTTTTATCCTCAGAGCTGGAATTGAACCACATTTAACACGATGATAATAACCTCTATGTATAAAGCGCCTTTCATATTGAAGTAAAATCTCAAAGCGCTGTACATAAAAATACAACTACACTCGCAATTATCAATAAAATCTCAGCAAAGTAGAAAGCTGATTTTAGACTTATTGCTTTTAATTTAGATGTTTAGTTTTCTATCTACATGACGTTACCAAAAGAACCAAGAATATAGAAAGTTGATCATAAAAATATCAATGACGACTCTATGAAATTCTATGATAAAAGCGAATAATTATCATTGATGGAAATGTTTTTGCTGTCATTGGCCACAGGGCTGAGACCATCAACCAGGTCCACTTTGGCCCAAAAAGGCAATGACCTTCCCCAAATAAATCCCTCTTCTCCCCCCCGTCTGCTCTGCTGAGTCCGGTGTTCCTGATACCGTCGTTGTCCCTGGTAATGCTGTCCAGAACGTCAGGATGTGGCAATATATGATGCGGGGGAGGATGTGGAATACAACATATTTTATGTAAAAAAAAAACAGTTTAATCATAGGACACTGCCCGGATCCGATCCTCGGTTCTCAGTGGTGGCAGCTCAGCACTGTGACCTTTGTGTGACCCAGTCACGTGTCCACCCTTGCATTGCTGAGTTTTCCCTCTGTTCAGGGAACGTTATTGCTCCAATTGTCTTCGCCAGCAGCACACTCCCCAGAGCTGATGCAGTGATTGTGTCTCAATCGGATGCCTCCTTTGATCTCAGAGCTGTTTGCTGTGTTCTTCATGGGATCCGGGTTTATCAGCCCCCTCTGAGTAGATTGTTGTACGGATTATGTCTGCTAGTGTTTTTTTTGTAACGCCGTATCTGATAAGAGCACGGGTGACTGCAACACAGTCAATTGAATCAAAGAGTTTGCTAACTAATCGGCGATAGACCAAAGGACACGTGTTTTTATGTTTCCGGGATCACATCTGGATGTGTGTGACGGTAAGACAAAGGCGGCCGAGCATGGTGCTGGCCACCCACCCTTCATAAGTGCCCGCTAGCAGCACTTGCCCCAACAGTCCAGTCAAGGCTATACAGGGGATCTTTGTCTTTGCATCGGCACGCAATGAGAAGGTTACGAGTTTTAAATTCCAGTGAGAGGTCCACTCGGCCGCCCGTTCACCGTGTGGCCTTTGTGAGATGAGTCGTACGTGTGCGGCGGCAAAATATACAACAAACGTGTTTGGTGACGATTTTGCATCTGCTGCTGCTGCAGTGGTGCAGAAGAAACGGCAAGCATCAGCGAGGAAGGAGGGTCGTTGCTCAAAACGTCACCTAGTGTCTACTTTTCCTTTCAAGGGTAGTCGCTGATGAATGTGTTGAGTTTGACGGACAATGCAATAATTTTGGAGGAGCATAATCGGGGGGATGACGCGTGGAAATTCATAGATCTACTTCTGACGTAATTTGCACGTGGCCTCATCCACATGAAGCAAATTGCTTGGTGATGCCACGTTGGCAGTGGTGCCCAAGCACATAGAACAAAATAAAAACACTCCTTGTAGAGGCGGTTACATTTTGACTTGAAACTTTCGTGACTGCAGGAATTAATATTCTTGGTTCTTTCGGTAAAGTCACGCCCGATGAAGACCGCATGGGTCGCGATTGAAACGTCATGGGTTTTTTGCTTTTATTATTTTCAATTTATAATTTATTTATTTTTTAAATTTTCTATCGACGTGACTTTTCCAAAAGAACCAAGAATATAAAAAAACACTCCTCAGCATATTCGTCGATAACACTGTGACCTTTAAGGGATAAAAACAAATATCTTGAATTGGTGACGTTTCAGGCAGTGGCCCTTCTCCATAGCTCGTAATTGTCGTCAAGTCACCAGCGTCTGAAAAACGCAGAGGGCTGGTCCCCGCCATATGGAATGAGGAGTTTCCATCGCTGGCTCGGCACCACCGATAGGGGACGGGCCACCGCGCCACGCTCGCACTGAGCGGTGAGACTCGCCACGCGTGTAAAGGAACGAGGCGCTCCCGCGCTCGCGCCGCCCAGGGGCGACGGAGGTCGGCGGGTGACGCGGCCCTCGCTGGACTGGTTTCTGGGTGGCGCAGTGGAAAGGCCCCGTGCGCGGCCGACCAACCTCCACCGTTGGGTTAGGGTCTTCGTTAAACGAACCGGTACGGCAGCTGTGGCACCGTTCAAACCGTTGGCGATGGATGTCCACCGACCTCAGATCAGCGGAGGTCGACGGGAACGACGCACGGCCACCGAGGGACGCTACCTCCGATTAAGCCAAGTGCGGTGCGAAAGAGGTTCAACATACACGCATGCATACCGTACGCGTGGCTTGGCGATCGCTCGCCGGCCGAATGGATAATAGAGGCTGATGTCAAACACCACTGCGTTCCGTTTTCAGTGGCTAATCAGAGTGAGCAATCGCACCACGCAAACACATTTGATGGCATCTCGGCAGGTAGCGCGAGTTGGGAAGAGTTCCGTTTTTTTGAATGGGCGAGGGTGGTGGAGCCACGTGTGTGTGTGTGTGGAAACGAGTTTTGACGGCGTTCAGCGGTTGGGAAAAAAACACATCACTTTAAAAGGGACCCTTTTCTTGACTACGCACGTGAAGAATAATCTCAAAGGGTCCTCGTCAGAGCCACCGTCGATCACTGCCCGTGGCCCAAGCGCGAGAGGGCTCCGCGCGTGCATCGCCGGCCGGCCGCGGCGCGGCGTCTTCGCTCGTTGAGCGTGCGTTGCCGCCCCCCCCACCCGCAGCTTCAAAGACGGACTGCTGGGAGCTGTTTGGAGCGAAGACCCTCGAGAAAATCCGCAACGACGACGACGTCATCTGCACCACGGAGTACTCCAGGATTGTGCCGCTGGAGGACGGAGAGGTACGCTCCACGACGGGAGGGGGGCGGGGGGATTTCTGTGCTCGTATTTTTTTTTATTTCACGTCGCTTTACGCAATACAGCTGCCATCTGGTGTATGGCTTCGGTGAGTCCATAGCCCTAACCTCATACTCTAGCCCTAACCCTCCCTCGTCACCCCATTCTCCCTGTCACGGTTATGGCCACACTCATTCGCCAAATTTTGGGAAACTTACCCGCAAATTGCTCAATTGGGATATGCATGGCAATCGTTGTCCACTACTGGGAGACCAATGCCAATGAGACTCAACCTGCTCTCTTGACTCCCCACCTGCTTGAACAACATCAACTTCAACTGATAACACTCCCACTGCCTCATTGCCTGGCGCCCCAATACCGACTCTGATTAGCCGCAGCAGTATTTTTTCAGGGCAGCAGTGATTTTTCACCGTGCGTGCAAACAATAAAAGATCTAAATTGACTCGACTCTGAAAGGGGTGGGAGTGCCCACACTCTACCGCACCGCACGCGACCTGCCAGTCAGCTCACACGCGCCGGTGTTCATACTCGCACTGCGTGCCTCATTTGGTCCGACTGCCACGCCGGGAGATTGAATCGAACCGGCGACCTCCGGATTGCAAGACCGGCGTGACGACCCGTCACACCGCGGCGGCGCGCATATAAACGAGTACATAAGTAAATGCGCGTCGAATAATCTGGCCAACGCTGTGACACGACCGAACAATTCTTTCTACGGATGGCCTCTGCTCCCGGGGCCTCCCCTCGACCACACACCGCTCCACATGCAGTGATTGAACGATCCTCCCATCCGCTTCCAGGAGATTTCAAAAGCCCTCTCAGCAGCTGCATCCACCCCCCCGCGCGTGCGTGCGCATTGTTAGTGGCGCGTGGTCGCGCGGCTCCCACTCGCCAACCCCCCCCCCCCCCCACGGTTGTGTTGGAACCTCAACACAACCGTGGGGCGTTGGCCAATCGCCCCGCATACAATGGGGCACTGGGAAGTGAAAACGTACACACGCACGCGAACACACGCAGGCGAACACACACACACGCGCGTGCGCGCGTCGCTCTGCACGCCCGTGCGTCCTCCAGCAGCAAGCGGGAGCGCAAAGCATCCACGACAAACGGGCGCACGCCAACCGTTAAAGTGCTACCTTCATACGCACGTGCATAGTCTACATAGGCTGTTGGGGCAAGCGATGTTAGCGAGCACCTATTGAGTCAGGCATTGCACGCGAGGGGGTGGTGTGGCCAGAACACTGTCTCCCCCAGTGCTGAGGGTTACACGCCGCACCAGGTACTTAGTTAGGGCGGAGTCGACTTAGAGAAGAGCATGGATGGGTTCGGATATCACTGGCTAATGATGAAAATACTTGAATATCTAAAGGACTGCAGAGCTCGGGCAATTGTTGTTCGTGCCAGCTCACTGCCTGGCTTTGTCTGTGCAACAAACTAAACATCATTATTGTTTACGTTGCGATAATAATTCTCATGAAATGCAGTCAAGGGCTCCAAACCCGCGCGTGTCAATGAAAGGAATAACGGAAAACTATATTAGTGCGATTGTTATTATTCCTTTACTGGTTGTCAAATCGCAATAGGCTTTGGAAAATATTATTCTGCCGCTTTGTGAGACTCGAGCAGGAATTCATCCCGTTGAGAGATTGGGCCTTGTCTCAGGCTAAGCCTGGACGGTGCCTGCAGGCTACTGCGATGCTACATTACCAGCAGAGACCGTTGCCGCTAAATGTTGTAGCGTACTATGCTCCTCTGTCTACGCTGCCCGTTTGCACCGACCCACACCGACCTGTGTAGTTAAGCAGCATCCTCGCGTTCGTAAGGCATCTGAAGATACAACTACACGGCGCGACTTGTGGCGGTGGCGTTATTACGTCGTTCGTCCGTGTCAATCGACGAGAACCATGGCAGGGTTGGGGGCTGTTTTTTGCGGGGAGTTTCGGAGAGTCCGATCGGGGGCGTGAAAAGCCACGGAGGGGCGAGTGCCGTGGAGGGCTCAGAGCAGCGGCGGGGGACCGCCGGAGAGAACCCCCCCCCCCAGGTCGTCCGGTCCTCCTCTCCCGTCGTCTCGTCTTCGTCTCGCCACTGGCATCGGATGGGCCCCTGACCTCGCGTTGATCCGATTCCCGAGCAAGTTGCGACGCCAACGCCCCCGTCCGCGTCGTGTTGTCGCATCCCCCCCCCCAACCACCCACCCACCCACCAGGTCGTCATTTCGCTCGTCAACGGGCGGCCCGGCTCCACGAACTTCTCCTACTCGGAGGTGCTGCGCGACTTCACTAAGGCCACCAACGTGCGGCTGCGCTTCCTGAGGACCAACACGCTGCTGGGTCACCTGATGGCCAAGGCGCAGCGGGACCCGACGGTGACGCGCAGGGTAAGCCCCAGGCCCGGTCCCATCGGTCCGTCGTCGTTGTCCCTCGTACGTGAAGGTCGCCGCGGTCTTTTGTTGCTCTCCTTGAACTTAAAACTAAAGTGATGTTTCGGAACGAATTTTTTTTAGGGTTAGATCGCGTAAATATGAATGTGCCGTTAAAACCCGCCACCACCCGACCGCTCGGATGGGTGACCACTTGACCTTGCATAACGACAGGTGCCTGTCAGCTGCCGCGGGGGGGCTACGTTGTGCAGTGCAGCACCGTCCATTGTTCTACTGTACTTCTATGCTCCCCGCCTTCACCGACCCGCACCGACCAGTGTGAGGGAAATAACAATCCGCATGAGCCGCACGGCGTGAAGGGGGCCCCTCATCCAGCAGTGGATAGCCACGAGGATTGTTCACGTGAAAAGGGACTTTGATTGAACCAGATTCGAACTGGAGTTGCCCTAATAGAGGTTTTTTCCTTTGAGTTAGATCGCCTAAATATAAATGTGGTGTTAAACCCGCCTCCAACAGACACAGCCAATTAGTGAGGTTTGTCACGTAAACAGAATGTGCCGATTCGTTACTACTTCGGCAGTAAACCCACAACATTTACAAACTATTTCTAACTTGACCCCGTAATGAGCTATGTAGTTATTTTCCAGAAGTGACCTGGTCACAAATGATAGCTCATCGCAGTGGCTTATCACGTGGAAATGTATAGCAGCCAAACACTCTAAAAGCACGTTGATTCTAAATGTGGAGGGTGAAACTGGAGTATCGGAGAGAAATCCACGCGACCACGGGGAGAACAGGCGAACGCCAACCTATACAACGGGCGTCAGGGTTGGGATAGAACCCACGACCAACTACATACCAGGCCAGCGAGTTAACATCTCACCTCCACACCGTCAGCCCAAAAGCTCCTGAAGTAAAATCAGTAGAGGTAGCGTTTGTTTGTACTTTAAGATCGGTTCAATGTGGTAGTTTCATTACAAATGAGTACCTATTCTCAGGAAGGCAACAGTAGTTTTCTCTAGCATGCGACTGTGGAATTTCACAACTGGCTGATGCACACCACCCAACGCTTACTTTTATACGGGGGACTAGATCATCATCATCAGCAGCAGCAGCATCAGCAGCATCATCAGCTATCGTAACTCCACTGCTGGATGAATGCCTCCCCAAGTCCTACCAGTTCTCACGATCCTCTCGGACGAGTTCCATTCCTCGGGCCACCACTCCGTTCGTACTCTCCTCCTGTTCACATTTGCTCTCTGATTCGCATTCCTAGGAAAACGTCACGGCGTCGCGGGGGGACAGGTCGGGCGTGTTCCCGGTTACCGCGGGGGAGAAGCGGGGGGGGGGCTCATGGTTGGCATCTTAAAATGAACACGCGGGGGGTGGGGATGGTTCACATCGGAGGGCGAGGAGCTACGCCTGGAGGGCTTTGAGTGGGGGGCCACTCGGCCCGAGGGATGTGAGGGCGGCGGTGGGGGGGGGGTGTTTATAAAGGTTATCTAACAACGTTCTTTTGATTCAAGTCTGCCGCTCCCATTCCCCCGTCCTCTGTCGTCAATGATCATCCCTCCCCCGCGTACATCCACGTCACAGTTTTTGTTGCTCGAGGTCACCCCCCACCACCCACCCACCCGCCTGCCCGTCCTCCCCCCCCCCCACTGCGAGAGTATATAAATATGCATATTCAAATGTTCAAATTGTTACATTTCTGACAAATCGCCCGAAGATGCTGGATGTAATTACCGGCAAAACGTCGTACTCAAATTCTAAATGTTGGGGATTCACTCTTCAACACACCGGTGGGCTGAAGGAGTAACTAATTGGCGTTCTGTTAACGTGACACATTTTTTACTGATTGGCTGTGTCAGGTGGTGGAAGGTTGCGACGCATTTATACTTACGCGATCTAACTCAAAAATCTTTATTACGTTAAAATTATAAATGGTTTAATAATTATTGGTCAGATGATCCTCACAATCAGGCAGGCGTGGGGCGGTCCACCGCCAACAGTGGACTGGCCAACAGGCTCTACATTGACACATTACACATGGAATCTATTAAAATAAAACGTGTAACATATCTTTATTGCATTTTACTCAGAAGTCCATGTGTTTTCCTGGACAAATGTGCATGGGGTAGTTACCCATCTTTTGCTGTCTGCCCTGAACCAGTGGTTGCAAATTCCATGTTCCTATGGCGTGGGCCCAGTGATGTGTTTCGAGTGTCGTTTCTTTAGGCAAGCTTCACTTGAGGTCTCAAGCCTCCTTATCAGGCTCGTCTTGCATTGCAATGTTTGACAAGTCCTTTTGTAAAGGAGCGTATTTCATGGGTGGAATGAGCTCGGATTACCCACGAAAAAACATGAGGGAATAACACTTAAATACCCTCACAAGTGGGCCTATTTGCTGAACTGACGTCTGCTGACCATTTTGGATGCCAGCGATTTTCTTAAATTAGTTTTTTTCTCTCTCGAAAATCTGCACGATCCACCAAGGCCCTTTGCCTCCTGGAGAGCCTGTTCACAGCTGCAGACCGCCACCACAGCCGGTGTAAATACCTCGCGCGTTTAGAGAACAATGTGTCGTATTGTTTTTGTAGCGCGGTGCAGGTATACTGTGATAGGAGTTTACAGCCCCGTGTCAAACCACTGCTTCCCATGCTGTGTCGGTCATGGCTGTTGTTTGACCATACTTCACCCCGCAGTGGTCTGTGTGAGTTGGCGAAGGGCGGCACCGGAGATGTCGTTCAGATGCTACCCGCTGCCGATGTTCGAATTAAACTTTTGGTGCGCAAACCACTGTGCCGCCGCTCTACGCAATGCGGTCGTCTGGAGACATTTGCTGATTTCAAATGTTCGTGACGGGAAAAAAGGCCGTCGAGACGGGCATCCTTTTGCGAGAGAGTAGACATTAAAGTGCGAGATAAAACATCGGGGATGGTCTCCCAAGCGGCCAGGAGCCCAACTAACGCTTGCCAATTCGCGCGCGGGAAACGCTGTTTGGCGGCGTGCGAGTGACGCTCCCGCCGTTGTCGCAGTACTACTACAGCATCAAGGACATCAGCATCGGTGGGCGCTGCGTGTGTCACGGCCACGCCGACACCTGCAGAGCCAGGAACCCGCACAACCCCTACCTGTGAGTACAGCTGCTGCCGACGCTTCCCATCGCGCGCTCACTTAAGGGGGGAGGGCGGGCGTGGGCGCACCTGCGTCTGACACGAGATTCCTTCATTAAAAAACGAACGTTGACTTTTTAGTTTTGACGTTCACCAATTTTATCCAAGTTGTTGCCAGCGGCGTGGCGCGTCGTCGTCACGAGACGAAGGATCCGCGTCACGTTGGATTGTGGCCCACAGAAGCGGATGTCACAGAGCTACCTCTGAGATCCCTTCTTCAAGTGACCTCTGGTCCAGGCACTATTCCCTAGAGTGTGAATATAGTCATTTGTGAAGTGCAGAACAACATTTTACGCGATGGCTTTTGCGTGCATTCATTGGTCATCCTCGCAGTGCCTTTTGGCTCGCCATCGAACAAAGACGGTCACTGCATCGCGCGCTTTCAGATGCGCTTCTGTGGTCGTCTGAAATGCTCTTCCTTCCAATATTAAGAAGCCACTGGAGCACTTCTAAATCTCAATTAAAAAATAATTTCTTTAGAACTCCTTTTCGTGGTCAGTTTATTTTCCTTCCCCCGCTCATCCGATTAGAACGGTTGGCCACGTACGGTGCGAAAGAAGTTCAACGCACACACCTTGGTGACCGTGCTGAGACCATCGAGCCGCTTGCACTTGAGCCTCCCGGGTTAATCACAGGCAGCGGCTCAGACCTGGATTCAAACCCAGGTCCTCACATGTTTCGGGTGAGCGCTGTCAGCAGCGCTCCACCTGGCCACCTCGAGAAAAACATAACTTTAAAGCCACTCTTCGGTGCGCTCTCGTGACATCACTGCCGTTGGCATATCCACGTGTTTTTTTGCAAGAATAAACAAAAAGTTGTATGGTGACGTGACCAGATTGCCTACATAGAAGTAACTTTAAAGTATCTCTTGCTGTGATCGAACACGGCGGTCACTTATACAAGCGCTGTCCAGGAAAAAACCTGCTTAGCTTCCGAGATCCGACAAGGTCAGGTGCATTCCAGGTGATATGGTCATAGAACTTATGCTGACTGCTTATATTGATTCCCACCATAGAAATATGGAATTTCCACCCACAGGCTCATGACCACTCAATGGAGATGAGATCCGTGCGATGCTGTTTGCACGGAAGTTCACTTTTGTTTGACTTTCTTTAGCCCAGCATTCTGCATTCCAGGAACTGCCCACACCAGCGGCGCAAATTGTGGTGCTCACCCCGGGAGGGGGATGGAACTAAATCAGGAGTTGCTCCCGTTGTTTGTTTCCTCCGTAGACTGCGCTGCGAGTGCCAGCACAACACGTGTGGGCAGTCGTGTGAAACCTGCTGCCCCGGCTTCCACCAGAAGCCCTGGAGACCGGCCACCGTCGACAGCGCCAACGAGTGTGAACGTACGTAGTGCCGCCGCCGCTGCCACCACCACGTGGGGTGTGTTGACACTCATCAACGCGTAGTAGGAGGGCTTTCGCGACCAATGTTATTTGTCATGAAGGTGTTTTTTTTTTCGTGTTACATCGCGTAAATGTAAATGAGTCGTTAAACCCGCCACCACCACCCGACGCAGCCAATTAGTAAGGTTCGTCACGTAAACAAAATGTGCCAATTGGTTACAACTTCAGCACACTGGTGGGCTTAACAACACATTTATATTTACATGATATAACCCGAAAAGAAAAAACAACAACTTTATAACGTTAAATTTCGATTTAAAGCTTTCGTGACTGCAGGGATTCATCTTCTTGGTTCTTTCGGTAAAGTCACGTAGAAGGGAAATAATAAAATAATAAAAATAAAACATAATAAAATAATTCTCACGACGTTTTGGCCACAACGCAAGCAGCCATCCTCAGGTGAAGAACAGGTCTGTCGGAAAGACAGCGTCTGAATGGACGCTGTCTTTCTGTCTTTCCGACAGACTTGTTCTTCACCTGAGGACGGCTGCTTGCGTTGTGGCCAAAACATCGTGAGAATGATTTTATAATTTTTATTATTATTTTATTATTTCCCTTCTATGTGACTTTACCGAAAGAACCAAGAAGAACTTTATAACGGTTCCACTGTTCAAGCCCTTCCTGCGTGGTCCAGAGGAGAACGCCCAGTCATTTTTTCTCCACCTCAAAACCTGAGCCAGCTGCTGCTGACGTCACACTCTCATCGTTTTAGTCTGACGTTAAATTACATTATTAATCCCCAACCTCCGCCACCACCCGTGAGCCTGTTTTGCCCTGAGCTAGATTCGGAAGTCCTTGTGGCGAGGCCGGAATTTCACCGTTGGGTTCCGGCTCTTCTTGGCAAATATCCAGCGGATAACGACGACCCCCGTATACCGTGAGGGCCCCTCACTGGCGCAGCTCTGGTGGGCCGGTGGAAAAGGGGCATTTCTAATCTCCCTCTTGGCAACGTGCACGGGTGGCTCCGAGGTCAGAGCGCTGCTGAGCAGGCACTGCTGGTATCCTGGGTTCGATTGCGGACAGCTGGCTTTGATTAAACCTGGGTTGTCAATTGCAGTGAGTTTGTGATATGCGAAAAGGTTAGAAACTTGAACATCTAGAGAAAATGATAGTTTATGCCATCATGGACAAATACTGTCCTCCGTGTGGGTGGTTAACCTTTTCCCATTCCGATGACTAAAATAAAATAACTTTTATCGGCACCGAGGCTCCCACAAGGCCATGCGGGAGGGCGTGTGGCACAGTTTGGCGCCAGCTCTCGTAGAGTGCGGTCGTGTCGCTACGGTTCTCTGCGGTGAGTACAATGTCTTTAAATACAACGGCGCTCCGCCTCCCGAATAAAATTAACGCTGAACCGCTTGTGCATTCCGAAATTCAGCGGTGAACGGGACCCACCCTTCAATTTGCAGATAATCAGTCGGGTAGATATGTCATGGCTAGGTATGTGATATTGTACTGTAATAGGTTTATTTTTCTACTGAATATCAAATCTAGGATCTCAGCCGTTGACCCAAAATGCTTTATCGGCACCACCCCGGGTAGCAAATGCCATCAATTATTTTCTTAAACAATTGTATCTCTACACTACAATTATATCTGATGGCAGGAATAGCATGGTAGCAGTTTACGAGAAAATTGTCATTCAAATGGTACCATCATATGTCTGAGAGAGAATATCGTTTCGGGGGGAGAGAAAAAAAACGGACGAATCCATGGAATATAAAAATAAATAGGAAATATATTTCTAAAACAGATGGTGTATACACTCAACCTTCTGACCATGATGAACACTGCCCATGGTGGATGCTGCGGAAGATTTTTCCACCCCATGTGTCGTGTGGGCTAAATTATGAGTCCCCGTAGCGCCGTGCTACCGCCTAGCAAAGCAGCCCAGTAGGGAATACGCTGACCGTTTAGCGACATTCCGAGTTCCACTCACCAGCGCATAGCGGTTGTGAGTGGATGACCCCTTTTTGTTGATCCGCCGTTGGACGAGAGCCCCTCGCGCCGCACCGTGCGGTCCACAATAATTACTTGGCCATACTCTCACCATGCTGGTCAGTGGGCGTTGGTGAACGTGGGGAGCCTAGAAAAACAGTATAACAATGGATCTTGCTGCACTGACTTGATAGCCTCGCAACAGCCGATGCCTGTTTGTGCATGGTGGTTGCCCATCCAAGCACTATCCAGGCTAAACCCTCATTAGCTTCTGAGATCTGATGAGAAGTGCATTTCAGGTGATTTGGTCATCGGCACTAGAAGGCGTGTAAGCTTGGAGGTATAAGCTCGGGTTCTGAAGGTATAGCCATTATTTTGCTGAAGTGTACGTACATATGTTGAACATCTTTCGCGCCGTATGTAACCAACCAGGCTTATTGGAGGTGAGGTGGAAGGACGACAAACTAAACACAAAAAGCAGTTCTGAAGAAATGAGTCTTCAATCTAGATTTAAAAGTGCACAGCTCCATTGGCTTTTAGAATCAGAAAGGGTTTTACTCGCCATGAAAGTTCGCACAGACAGGTGCATACATTCAACATTTAGGAATATTAAACCTTAAATAAGTGGTTTACAAGTCTAACTATACTAAAGGTACAAGTCTAACTAATACTAAGGAGCTAAAGTATGTAAAAATGTAATAAAATAAAATCTAAAATATACAATAGCTATAATATACAATATAAAATTACAAAAATGCAAATAAGGTAACAGTGCAAATATGGCAGGGTGTAATTGTGCAGATATTGTGTTAAAGTCAGTTTGAGTGTCAAAGTCAGTTTGAGTGTTAAAGTCAGCTTGAGTGTTAAAGTCAGTTTGAGCGTTAAAGTCAGTTTGAGCGTTAAAGTCAGTTTGAGTGTTAAAGTCAGTTTGAGTGTTAAAGTCAGTTTGAGTGTTAAAGTCAGTTTGAGTGTTGAAGTCAGTTTGAGTGTTAAAGTCAGTTTGAGCGTTAAAGTCAGTTTGAGTGTTAAAGTCAGTTTGAGTGTTAAAGTCAGTTTGAGTGTTAAAGTCAGTTTGAGTGTTAAAGTCAGTTTGAGCGTTAAAGTCAGTTTGAGTGTTAAAGTCAGTTTGAGTGTTAAAGTCAGTTTGAGTGTTAAAGTCAGTTTGAGTGTTAAAGTCAGTTTGAGCGTTAAAGTCAGTTTGAGTGTTAAAAGTCAGTTTGAGCGTTAAAGTCAGTTTGAGCGTTAAAGTCAGTTTGAGTGTTAAAGTCAGTTTGAGTGTTAAAGTCAGTTTGAGTGTTAAAGTCAGTTTGAGTGTTAAAGTCAGTTTGAGTGTTAAAGTCAGTTTGAGCGTTAAAGTCAGTTTGAGTGTTAAAGTCAGTTTGAGTGTTAAAGTCAGTTTGAGCGTTAAAGTCAGTTTGAGTGTTAAAGTCAGTTTGAGCGTTAAAGTCAGTTTGAGTGTTAAAGTCAGTTTGAGTGTTAAAGTCAGTTTGAGTGTTAAAGTCAGTTTGAGCGTTAAAGTCAGTTTGAGCGTTAAAGTCAGTTTGAGCGTTAAAGTCAGTTTGAGTGTTAAAGTCAGTTTGAGTGTTAAAGTCAGTTTGAGTGTTAAAGTCAGTTTGAGCGTTAAAGTCAGTTTGAGTGTTAAAGTCAGTTTGAGTGTTAAAGTCAGTTTGAGTGTTAAAGTCAGTTTGAGTGTTAAAGTCAGTTTGAGCGTTAAAGTCAGTTTGAGTGTTAAAGTCAGTTTGAGTGTTAAAGTCAGTTTGAGTGTTAAAGTCAGTTTGAGTGTTAAAGTCAGTTTGAGCGTTAAAGTCAGTTTGAGCGTTAAAGTCAGTTTGAGTGTTAAAGTCAGTTTGAGTGTTAAAGTCAGTTTGAGTGTTAAAGTCAGTTTGAGTGTTAAAGTCAGTTTGAGTGTTAAAGTCAGTTTGAGCGTTAAAGTCAGTTTGAGTGTTAAAGTCAGTTTGAGTGTTAAAGTCAGTTTGAGCGTTAAAGTCAGTTTGAGTGTTAAAGTCAGTTTGAGCGTTAAAGTCAGTTTGAGTGTTAAAGTCAGTTTGAGTGTTAAAGTCAGTTTGAGTGTTAAAGTCAGTTTGAGCGTTAAAGTCAGTTTGAGCGTTAAAGTCAGTTTGAGTGTTAAAGTCAGTTTGAGTGTTAAAGTCAGTTTGAGTGTTAAAGTCAGTTTGAGTGTTAAAGTCAGTTTGAGTGTTAAAGTCAGTTTGAGCGTTAAAGTCAGTTTGAGTGTTAAAGTCAGTTTGAGTGTTAAAGTCAGTTTGAGTGTTAAAGTCAGTTTGAGTGTTAAAGTCAGTTTGAGTGTTAAAGTCAGTTTGAGTGTTAAAGTCAGTTTGAGCGTTAAAGTCAGTTTGAGTGTTAAAGTCAGTTTGAGTGTTAAAGTCAGTTTGAGTGTTAAAGTCAGTTTGAGTGTTAAAGTCAGTTTGAGTGTTAAAGTCAGTTTGAGTGTTAAAGTCAGTTTGAGTGTTAAAGTCAGTTTGAGTGTTAAAGTCAGTTTGAGCGTTAAAGTCAGTTTGAGTGTTAAAGTCAGTTTGAGTGTTAAAGTCAGTTTGAGTGTTAAAGTCAGTTTGAGTGTTAAAGTCAGTTTGAGTGTTAAAGTCAGTTTGAGTGTTAAAGTCAGTTTGAGTGTTAAAGTCAGTTTGAGTGTTAAAGTCAGTTTGAGTGTTAAAGTCAGTTTGAGCGTTAAAGTCAGTTTGAGTGTTAAAGTCAGTTTGAGTGTTAAAGTCAGTTTGAGCGTTAAAGTCAGTTTGAGTGTTAAAGTCAGTTTGAGTGTTAAAGTCAGTTTGAGTGTTAAAGTCAGTTTGAGTGTTAAAGTCAGTTTGAGTGTTAAAGTCAGTTTGAGCGTTAAAGTCAGTTTGAGTGTTAAAGTCAGTTTGAGTGTTAAAGTCAGTTTGAGTGTTAAAGTCAGTTTGAGTGTTAAAGTCAGTTTGAGCGTTAAAGTCAGTTTGAGTGTTAAAGTCAGTTTGAGTGTTAAAGTCAGTTTGAGTGTTAAAGTCAGTTTG